TTTTTTTTGTAACTTTGCAGAAATTATGGTTTACAAAATATGGAATGGAATAGACGAGTAGCGCTCGAGAAGGATATGGACAAAGATCGTTCGAATACGCTCAGAAATGTGCGGCTATGCTGGGATTACTCAGGCTACTTTGTCCTCTATCCGTCTCCTGTAGGCGTGAAGGTAGGTAACCGCAGTAAAACACTGCTCTCACCTTTTAAACATTCCTTCGTTTCTTGCATGAAGGAGCATAATTCTATGTACTTTTTCAGGTGTACAATGTGTATACACATCAATTTGTTCGAGAGATTGGTAAGGAGGAGACTGTGCGCTTTGTGGGAGTCACTCTATGCAGGCAAGTAATGATACTTATGCAGAACTACATTTAGTTTCATCTACAATTTGATATAATAGTATATTGCTTCTTAGAAACTTTCATGGCTCAACAGTTCTAGTTCGCATAAGGTGTGCATTTTCAAATATTTTTTTTTCCATTTAGGGCAGTACCGGACATCCGCGCTCGCCTACAGGGAGCAGCAGCTACTATAGAGACTGAAGCTGCTGACAATCCCAATCTGAACAAAACTACAGATCCAGATCCTATCATGGTTTGTTCTTTTTTGGTACTGGAAGCACTGCAACTTTTCAAACAAGTTGGTCTTCTCTTAAAGGTTTGCTGCGCATACAAGAAGAATCGCTTCTATTTGTTTACGAATGCGGAACCGTACTCAACAGATGAAACGGATGAATCTGCCACCAATCGTGATATTTTCAATGAACGTCCACGAAAGGAAGATCAGCTCACTGCTGTTGAGGTGAGTTCAGGTGGTGCAGCTAATTGTACTTACATTTTCACTTTCACACTTTTTTAAATAGATTTCATGATACCCTCCCCTCCTCTAAATTTTGGACATTACTTCCTTTATTTACGGTATAATGTTTTCAGCAAGAGGGCGAAATTAAACATGCTACGGAAGAAGCAACTTTACATACTACTATGGGAGATATACGGATACGATTGTTCCCTAACGAGTGCCCGAAAACTGTTGAGAACTTTAGCACCCATGCTAGGAGAGGTTATTATAATGGTTTGACGTTCCATAGAGTGATAAAATCATTTATGATACAGGTATGGATGAAATTGGTCACTTTTGAGTTTTTTCTCTTTTAAAAAGTTGCTTACAGACTGGTGATCCTACCGGAAAAGGTACGGGAGGACAGTCCATCTGGGGAGCTGATTTTGAAGATGAATTCCATCCAAGATTGCGGCATGATAAGCCGTTCAAAGTTCGTATTTAGATATAACATTGCTGGCTGCGTATCTTATCTATCTATATTTGGAATGGGATTGGAAAATTTCCAATTCGGTTTTGCGCTTTCTTTTCAAACTGGTTACGGTAGAGTTGCCCCATTATGATTTCATAATTTTTTAAGGTGTCCATGGCAAATGCTGGTCCAAATTCTAATGGATCACAGTTCTTTATAACTGTTTGTCCTGCGGAATGGTTAGATGGGAAGAATACAATATTTGGAGAGGTATGCTTTTTTTTTGAAACGCCAGCTGTATACTTTTTATTTGTTAATTTCAACAGCCAGTTGACTCAGCAGAATGGAATATGGCTAATTATATTGAATTGTAGTGCATAAAATAGGCAGTTATATATAAAAGGCCTTCTTAACTATGTAGTACCAGTTTTTCTCATTTTCTTATAACAAACCGCGACTCTTCTTTTGTTTTTTTCTGTTAAGACGTTAACGCCATACTATCATTTATTGCTGAGTATCGTTCCGAGTGACCAAACATCCTCGTTTTTTTTT